GTTTTTTTTTCCCCGTTACATCTAAAAATTCCTTTCAGAAACATTTTTTTTTTTTCAAAGCAGCCCCCCCCCAAAAAAAGTGCGGCCCCCCAAAAAATTGTGCCTGCCCCCTCACTTTGTGCGCTCTGGTGCCGACCCTGCATATACTCAACCTCCAACTCACACACTGGCGAGTAAAATCTGAGAATTTATTAGCAATTGGCTAATATTAGACATCATTTAGAGATTTACCAGAGTAAGATTTAGTCGCATATGCGAGTGATTTACTCGCAATGTAGAGGGTTGTTGGAGCACAAATAATTTTGTAAAAAATGATTTGGTGCCTAAATTTAGTACATTTTGTTATTCAGTTGAATTGACTGTAACTGAATTGACTGTTAAAATTTCACAGAAATTGGGTTTTAGTTGTTTTAACTTGTCCTACTTGTTACCCAGTTGCATAGCTTTGAGTTATACATTTCAATTATACTTTTACATGTATTTATTTGGAAGACATCTTTATCCAAATTGACAGTACCCTGAATCAAACTGTGAGACTTTCACAGATAGTTTGATTTTGAAAGTACCATTAATTAAGGATCTAATGGATTTATGGCAGGCTGACACTGCGGGATCTTGGTCCATGGGCTGCTCACATGCGTTGGGTTGTCTGGGTGATGGCCTCTGGAGGAACTGCCTATGTGTTCTTCTTCCATGAAAGGTGAGCTTGTGTTTGACAAATGATTAAGAGTGTTTATTTCTAAATGTTAGATTTCCAAAAGGTCAAATAGAAAGAAACAAGGCAAACTTTTCGGTCACATATTGACCATTTTCAATGACATTTCAATGCCAATTTTAGATTTACAAAATTAGATTTTTGTAAGAAATAACAGATTTTTCAAATGTTTTGATTACATCACCCTGCATCATATTTGCTGAATTAAATCAAATACTTGTTTCTTACTAATTTTGAGGTGCTGATACCAAAAGTAGTGCCTGTTTTGCTCTGACACATCATAGTTTTTCACAGAATATGATGTGCATTTTATTATATATATATATATATATATATTTTAATTTTTGCATTTTACTACAATTTGTAAGGTGAAGAATTCTTGTAAGCAGAAAAATTGCCACAAAGACATAATTCCTATCTTCCTCTGAACCAGGTTACACATATTTGTTCAGTTCTCAGACGATTTTCACATGTATGATTGATTGTGAAAACATTATTTTATGCCTAAACCTGATTTCCATTTTTCTTCCACTCCTTTGCAGATCGTAAGTTAAATAAAATACTATTTTTTTTTGTTATTTTACATTTGACTGCTTTTTTTATTATGATTATTATTTTGATAGGTGCATTAAAGGATTAGTTAATTTGCTGAAAATGTACTCAAACTCAATCTATCCAAGATGTAAATGAGTTTGTTTCTTCATCGGAACTTCATCGGGTTTGAAGGAATTGAATTACATCACTTGCTCACTAATGGAACCACTGCAGTGAATGGGTGCCGTCAGAATGAGAGTCCAAACAGCTGATACAAATCTCACAATAATCCACAACACAACTCTAGTCTGTCAAATGAAGTGAAAGGCTGCTAGGCTTTTTAACTTTAAACCATCACTTCTGCCCTAATATGAGTCCATAATTCTATAATGTGTGATAATGCTAAATTACTCCAAATATGTTCTGATGAAGGAACAAACTCATCTACATCATGGTCCGAGGGGAAGTAAATCTTAAAATGTTCAGTTTTGGGTGAACTATCCCTTTAAACATGATACATATAATTTGAAAAATCTAGAGAAAAAAAATCTAAAACATATCATTTTAAATACATATTACTTGAAACAGGTTTTGAAACAAAACTGTACTTTTCTGCGCTACAGGTGAACATGTTTCTTGCATCCTTTGTGTTACAGGTTTAAAGTTGTAGAGCTGATCTGTTACATAGCAATGGGTGTTTTCCCCGCTCTCGTTATCCTCTCTATGGTAAGAAAATGAACGCCTATGAATTGAAAATGTCACGACAGACTAATTAGAAATGAATTCAGTGTCTGTCTGTTTTCTTTATAGGCAGACAGGTCAGGTCTGTGTGAGCTGTTGGTTGGTGGTGGGTGTTATGTGTTGGGCATGGTGTTCTTTAAAAGTGATGGAATAGTGCCCTTTGCTCACGCTATATGGCACCTCTTTGTTGCAATGGGATCAGGCATCCATTACTATGCCATCTGGAAGTACCTGTACACACCTGTCAGTCAACCAACCAGTACGGCCCGGTGACACACATATGCATACACCTAACCACAAAATCATTTGAATATATATTTGCCACTGAAGTGCTAAAGTTCTACTAAAAGCATAAACAATTGTTTTATTGTTGCTAGCGAATGGTTTGACTGATATAATTCTTGTCACTTATTAATAGGTCTTTAACTAGCACATACAACAGAAATTACATCTAGCCTTTGTGAGACTACAAGCAGCAGGGGTCATTTTGGACCTGAGGCCGTGTGCAATCCTGAGACTGATAAAGGATCCAGAACAAGAACGTTTCTAGAAAAACTATGGACGTATTACATGAAGGTTTACAATTTTTTAAAAAGGTACAGAGCAAAGTTAAAAGCACTGCCAGATATTTGTAAAAACACTTAACCTGAGGTATGTTTCCCCAAAGCATCACTAGCTAACTATGGTTGCGAGTTGCATTGAACTCTATTGGTAACGATGGAACTTGTGACCATAGTTGCTTTTGGGAAACGCACCCCTGGTTTGTAATTACTTGACTACAGTTTAAAGGTATGTCTGTAGTGTTTTTAAACCGACTTGGGATTATTCTACTAATTCTGCCACTGCCAGTGTGGAGATATTCTTATTTATGTGAGAAATATGAGTTCATTTCATATTACTGTACAGTACACAGTATCAATTGTCCATGCTTCTAGTCTAGTGCTAGTCTGTTGCATTTTTGGGTGTGTAATGTCTTTGGAAAATGCCATAAGTGCTTGATGACAATGTCCAGGAAAAGATTTACCTGGACAGGTCATCTGATTTCATGGTTTAATGGAAAAGTTTAGATTCTTATATTATGATTGTGCACTGTTTTTTTTTGTTTTTTTTCTGGTCATTTTAAAATGTGCTTCATGGTAACGTCTATTAATTGGTATTAATCAAGTCAAAATATTGTTTAATAATAATATTAAATGACTGTCTCAACTTGACTACATTATAGGCTTACACCAACAAAAAATACTTTTGAGGGTTAGGTCATAGAGAAATAGCTCACTTTTTACAGTTTTAACAGTATATTGAGACTTGCATGGGGCCAGTTTAAAGGCTTTTGCCCATTTTACTGCATTCCATTTCAGTGAAAATCTGAAAACAAAAAAGTGTTTTATCTTAGATGTTATTTATTCATTTCAACTTACAGCTGCTGTAGATGTTGTATTATGGATCATTTTATATGAGCGCTAAATAGGGTATAAAACATATACACTGAAAGTTTTTATGGAGGCTTTTTTCCGCCACAGGATAAAAAAGGTAATTGCAACTTTTTGTCTCACAATTTGGTCTTTTTCTCTTGTAATTATAAGAAGAAGAAAAAAAACTCAGACTTGTGAGATATAAACTTACAATTGCCACTTTTTTATCGCAATTCCAAGGTTACCTCTCACAGGTCTGAGTTTGGAGCAACATGAGGGTGTAAATGATGGCAGAATTTTCACTTTTGTAAGAACTATAATACACAATTAGCACACTTACCATCTTAGCTTCAGTGTTTACCACTGGTCAAGGTTTGTAAATTAGCCATCTGTTTATTGGACTGATCAGCCAAAGCATTTGCTCTCAGGGTTGCCATCTCACTGGTTGGTACCATCACAATTTCTTAAGCATTCCATTTTTGGTGCACTCCCTTAGGCCATGCATATTTTAATAACTGTTTAACATTGAAAATAAACTTGAACATTGTAGATAGTATTTTTAATTAGGGCTAATAGGTGATCAAGGGCACGTTGGTTGTTACAGCTACAGATTGTTAAGTCAAGTTTGACGCAGAAACAACAAGGCTGCAGTTTTTACCTCTCAGACTACTAAACTGAAGTCTATTAAACACGTATTTAAATTTGTATGGCCTTTACAATCATATAAAACTCTTAATAGTTACCAGTTGTAACAGAATATTTGAACAAAACGTGTATTTATTGTTGTACATCTTAAAAAACAGTATTTAATGTATTGTGAATATAGAAAGTGTTTGGTCAGTAGTTGTAATCTATGTGTACACAAGCTACAAATTCATTATAGTGTTGATATTTATCTTTGCTGTGCTAAGATTGAACATTTCGCAAGCATCTCATTTTGATAAAGATGTTTTATTTGATGATGAGTGAATTTCAGCTGAAATGTGACCCTGGACCACAAAACCAGTCATAAGGGTCAATTTTTGGAAATTGAGATTTATACATCTTCTGAAAGTTGAATAGATAAGCTTTCCTTTGATGTATGGCTTGTTAGGATAGGACAATATTTGGCTGAGATACGACTATTTAAAAATCTGGAATCTGAGGGTGCAAAAAAATCAAAATATTGAGAAAATCACCTTTAAAGTTGTCCAAATGAAGTGCTTAGCAATGCATATTACTAATAAAAAATGTAGTTTTTATATATTTATGGTAGGAAATGTACAAAATATCTTTATGGAACATGATCTTTACTTAATATCCTAATGATTTTTGGCATAAACGAAAAATCAATAATTTTGACCCATACGATGTATTTTTGGCTATTGCTACAAATATACCCCAGCGACTTAAGACTGTTTTTTTTTTATCCAGGGTCACAAATGTGTATGCTATTGAAACACCTCGCCTTAGTAAGTGAACATGTGTTTACGCTTTTAGTGTTGCAACACTCTTGTCAGGTACGTTTTTCCTCTCTTAAGAATTTAGATGATAGTAAGGGCTGTCTGTGACTAAAATGAATACGGTTTCAGTTTGAACTTGAAATTGCTTCTGCTCTCTATCTTGTCTAAGTATAATATCTAAATCTATACATTTTTGAACCCAGTGGTAGTATGAGTTTATGTATGTTTCTAAATTATTTAAGACTTTTGTTATTCTGTTGTATTAAGTGTTCTGTTTTTACCATTGTTGACTATTTTTCATCTGTTTAAGTATCTTTGTTTGATGTAGCTTTATGACAAAGTGTTTGCTTGGGGGTTTATTAAGTTTACATCCATTATACAGCTTTCACTGCCAGTCAGCCTGAGATTAATACATTTAGATTTCCTTTGACCTTGAGTTTATTAAAAATGCATGGAAACTCGTGTGATGCTTGAGGAGTTGTGTTAGCTAGTTAGAGTGCACGCTGAATGTACAAAAGTCCTTCCTCATACTTTTGAGTCACTAGAATATGCTGGATGGCTGGAGTTTTTAACATGCTAAAATTATTAAAAGCATATGGTTTACTTCTGACTCAAAGCCAAAATAAAATACACTGCAACCAAATTATTGCACAATTTAATGCTGGTTTGCCCTGACAAATCTTACTTAAATTATGTATAATGTAGAATTTGGCAAAGTCTGTTCATGATACTTGACACCAAACTTTCATACATCAGGCTGCCTACCTCTCTTTGAGTTATGAAAAATATTAATTCAGTAAAATTACTGAATTCTCTATTGAAACCGAATCCACTTTAAACCTAACCCTGACCTCACTGTAAATATAATTTGTGCCTTTTCTAGTTTGGGTGTGTTTCAGAACAGTTCAAGGCTTTGTGTTGTTAGCCATTCTGCTGATTTACTCTGCATAAAAAAGTGAACCTTTCACATGAAGGTATTTGTGATTGTGATTTTGCGGCAACGTTTGTATTGCCCCAGTTTTTGTATTTGTATTAAGACCATGTTATTTCATACCAATGCTTTTTATCAAGGAAATGTCCTTCTCTCATTATCTGAGTCCTGCATTCTATGTATTTTGTATGTCTGTGGGTTGATCAATAAATGCTAAGAATGAAAAAAAAAAAGCCTTGCACACTGTTGTAATTTTATACACGCTTTTGAACCGATTATTTATTACATTGTTCAAGCCTACTTATAATACTTTTAACTGTAAAAAGTTAATGTTGAATACAGTCAAGTTGCAGGACAATTTTCACATTTTAACCAAATACTTCTATAAATCCATGTTGTTTGCTGTATACTGAAATAGACAGAACATTTCTTAACATTTGATGTAAATGTCATTTCACATGTCTTCAATTAAATCATGTTTTATCGATCATGTCAAAATTGTATAATAAAATGTATAAATGAAATTTACAATCTGTATTATATCATTGTGCTGTAATATCTCAGCCAGCAGTTCCACCACCCCGTCACTAGATGTCGCAATTGTAGTTTGAGTTTATTTATTTGTTACAGCTTTGTGATCATTTTCTGTATTTTTAGTACAGGCTTTGAAAGAATGGCAACGTTTTGACAAAATTCAGCATTTGCTCTAAATGCTTATTCAGTTTTATATCAGGGATCAATCCATTCTACCCACAGCCTACAGATTAAAACACTAATGTTGCATGTACAAATGTCTTCAGTGAGCCAAAATGTCCTGGGATTTGAATGAGTGTATGCTTCTTTCTGATCTACTGAATGTCCCAGTAGAGGGCCCCACTTTACACCCTCAGGAAACTACATATCTATTAGTCATTCCACTGGACTGAATTATTCATAGAGATCTGCCATGTTCTTAACAGACATTTTCAGTAAAGTGCCCAAATTACATTAAATGGCTATTCCCAATATCCCTTATGAGCATTTGCATAACATCCATTCTTTAACCATTGTATTTGACAATGTAAAACCGTTTTGACTTCTCACTTAGCCTACATTATTTTAACTGCAGTTTCTAATAAACAAACAAATAGTGCAGCCGAAATAAGTAATACTGTACTAAAATTGAACAAATTAATTAATACATTAACTCACTCCCCAGAAAGAATAAAGGGTATGGGCCTAACATTTAACATGGTATTGAAATAATGCTAGTATGTAGGCCTATTGTTAAGTAGACTATTCATAGTTTTATATGAATGCTATGAATGTGAGTGTTTTCTTTCACAGTATGGGTGTTCTCTCCTTATTTTTTATTTTTTTTTCAGAAACAGCGAGTAGATAAATATGGATCATAGCCATCGGAATATAGCTCACTAGAGCTGAATCAGGCTACGCATTTGCACACATAGTGACACCAAAAGGTACAGTATACCCACATTTTGGAATGACTTTTCATCAACCGGTGTAGTATTTTTAGTGGATGACCCCCTTTAGTGAAAGAGCCCCCTTGTGTAAAGAAGTACACTTTAGAATAATATGCTTAATATATATATAGGCCTATATATATATATATATATATATATATATATATATATATGTGTGTGTGTGTGTGTGTGTGTGTGTAGATGTTTTCAAAATTAATAAAGTTTTCAGACATTTTATGCTATTTGCAATTAAATGAAAATGTAGTTTGCATATAGTAGCCTATGCAATTAGTTGAACTTAAGAGTGCTGTTTTTGACCCATTTACATCTTTACATGTAATTTCATAATTCTGTTGTCTCATAATTATTGTATTTTTTAAGTATGGTTAAAATGTACTTCCAAATGTAGGCTACTGACATTGTATAAACTGAAATTTATACTGTCATTACTGAAACCTTTACGTCATGTATTTAAATATATTTGTAATTACACATTTGCAGATGAAGTTGCAGTTTAGGACCTTTTAATATTATTAAAAAGTATTATAATATTAAATAAAACTAGCTTTAGTATGTTAGTCAACACATCAAAATAAGTGTACTTCTTTAAAACACAACAAAAGATTATTAAAACAATGATTTAAAAGGTAAAACATCAAATATGACATTTTAACATATTGCACTTTTTAAAAGTGTGTATACTGAAGTGTGTGTACTCTCTTATGAATCTACACTTATATGGCCTTTTTATTTCAGTAATATTACATGCAAGTACATTTTTAAATATATACTTTTAAGATTTGAAGTGCACTACAAGTGTAGCCTAGGCCTACATTAAATACAATTAAGCGCACTTATTTTTCACAAGGGCCCCTCAAGTTAAGAAAGGTGTTATAGATGAGCAACCAGGTGTTCATCACATCAACATTTAATTAATTTTGGTCAGTAGTAGGCCTATATTTAAAACACATTTATTTTAAAATATTGATAGTTGGCCGGTAGTCACAATGGTGTTATTCTCGCAAATGAAAACGAGTCTGTGAGGGACAGATGCGCAGTTAGTGTGTTGTAGCTTAGGCTACTGTCATGTCTAAATTCACGACACGTTTTCCAGATTTTTCTCGATCGACAGCAAAGTTGAAAAACATTACAGCCCGGAACACACTGCATGTTTGTCCCATACTGCATACCGCCTGCCTAAACATCTATTACATTGCAAGTGTAACAATACGCGAGAGCTTGAAGTTCTCGGTTCGGCTTTTTCCGGCTGCAGTCGGCTCAGGGAATGCAGACGCCGAAGCATGCAGACTAGTGTAGCCAGTGGAGACGGGCAAATAAAGAAGGGGGAAAGGGATAAACAGCTCCAACGACTGCCAAAGAAGAGCACCGAAACATAAAACCAGCAGGTAAATCATTCCGAACATACTAACAACAGATTTCTCTATACTGATGCATGTTTGACACCTCTGTACAGGTAGACGTTGTCGCATTCCATGACAGTGACTGGGCGGACCTAAACTGTAGCCCACCGGGCCGTAGAGCTAATTTAACATATGAACAAGACGAAATACTGGCAAATGTCAATAATAGGAGTCAAGCGAGCGGCTTGTGAGGGATCAGAGCTCTGAGACTGGCTGGCGGAGCCCCGTTAAGACGCACAAGCGGATTAGGACTCGCGAGCAGGTGCCTTTGTTGGCTCGCGCCGTTGCTAGTGGAGACCCGCAGTAGCGTGACGCGCTTCTTTAAAACTGAATGCCTCCAAATGAGCGTCTCTTCCGCAAACGGGGAATAAAACGCGCTTGACAGGTAAGACATACTCTGCAACCTTGAGTTTGATGTTTTTGTAAGTATTTTCAACAACAAAAAAATTAAACTTTTTTTTTATTGTACGTCTTTTAAAATCTACCGATCTTAATCACGCGCAGTTGCATTACAGTATAGTACAAAATGTTTATGAATGTTAAATTATCCATTCGCATTCAATGTCCTGCACCTTTAAGAATCATAAAACGGTTTGTTTAAATCATTGTGTGCATAACAGAAGAATGCAAAAAGGGAACAAATTAATACTTTAGATGTACGCAGTACCTGTGGACAGATAGATTATTTAAATAAGGGGTAGCATGTCAACTACATGCAGTTTGTGAATAGGCTTCACGAGCGTACGGTGAAGTATTTTCACGCACGAGCAGATGGTCTACGTTCAGACTGCCGAGTAGTGGGGATTTTAGCTGATGCAGTGTCTCTCTCTCTCTCTCTCTCTCTCTCTTTCTCTCTCTCTCTCT